AGGACTGCACTGTCCTGAGGGGAACACCCACAGAAAAATGGGTGATGGAAACTGTGTACCAAGATCTAGAACTGGGTGCGGTTTATGTGTATTTGTGTGTGCATATGTGTATTTGTGTGTGTGGTGTATGCACGTGTGTGTGTGTGTGTGTGTGTGTGTGTGTGGTGTGCCTGTGCATGTATACTGGGGCCAGTGGAGGACATAGAGTGTCCTGCTCCATCATTCTCTGCCTTGTTCTCTTGTGAGAAGATCTCTCACTGAGCATGGAGCTGGTATAGAGTCAGCAAGCCCCAGGATCCTTTTGTCTCCACTCTCCATAGCACTGGGGTTACAGGTGTGTGTAGCCACACCCAGCATTTTATATGCGTGCTGGTGGTCCAAACTCAGTTCCTCACACTTGTGTGATAAACACTCTTACCTGCTGAGCCATCTCCCCAGCCCTAGAGCTGGGTATTTTTACATATATATTCTCATTCACTTTGTCTCACAAAGACCCTACAGACATCCTTATAATTTCCATTATGGAGATAAGAAAACCAAAGCTTATAGATACACAGTTACCAATATGGATTTTAAGCCTAGTAATTTTTTCCTTTAATTTCTTAAAACTGTGATGGTAAAGTAACCTTACATCTGTGTCAAACATTTTTCTTCTTCAAATCACCTTCAATATTTCTAAACCTACTTTACTTTTATAGCTTTTTGAGGGAGGGGGACATTATAAACTGTAGTTGAGATTTATGAGTTTCTAATACTACAAATGGAAAAAACTCAAAAATACCATGGCCAAGGTTATGCATTAGCAAGTAGAAAGAAGGGAAGCTAAAATAAATCACATTCTTCTAGAAGGTTTAGAGCTCTTCTGATATTCCCTAGACTGCTTGAAACATGGGTATGCTTTGAACAATCCAGGTCAGAATCCCATAAGACATTTACATCCCTGAATTGTATTGCTCTGGGTGTTCAGGAATTCTTATCTCCAAACAAGTTATCCTTCCTTCTTATGGGGCCCAGGTAGAAAGCTAAACATGATCAGTGTTAATGAGAAGTGTATAAACTTTTACATACCCAACTCACAAACTAGTGTATAAAAGACATATTCCACAGCCAGTTTTAAAGATTTTCATCTTTAAGAAAGTTTGGTTAAGACAATCATCCTTTTCATAGTGTATGAAATTAGAAAATACATAGCTCACAAAATATATATACTTTATTGATAACATTGAGAATTTTGTCATAAATTTACTTAAGATATAGAACAAAATACACTGTTAGGTTTAACATTTAGTACTATTCAATTTTACACTGGATCCACTGATACTTTTTTAAATAAGGTACACTTGAAATAATTGATTCCAACTGCTAATGAATTATTTAATCATATAAGATCTGTTGGTTTTACAATATACAACTATTCTATGTTATGTGTTATTGAAAAGGCAATTAAGCCAGCACTGTAGCAGGAGATTTCTTAGTAGAGGCAGGATTTCTCTGAGAAAGCTCTGTAAATATTGGTCTTTTTATAGCTTTCACTTCTGATTTAACAGTTTAAAATCCTCACAAATAATACAGGGATTAGTTTGCAATTTTTGAAATGAAAAACCAAGAATCAACTAACATACTAAAATGTTAGAGCTTGAAAAGTCCTTAGTTTTAAGTGTCGGGTGGATATACATACTTACATGCTTTCTGATCTGTATTGTGCCTGTATATGGCTTAAAACATCTTTTGGAAGAAGAATCAATGCTCATAGCAGCGACATAAGAGAAGTTTAAAAAGTAAAACACGCAAACCCACAACGAAAGAAAAGTAAGTCGTGATCAGGTCCTGGTATCACTTTTTAAGAAGGCTACATTCTAGGCAGGTTGGGGTGAACCAAGACAAAATTCAGAAACCACAACAGCTACCGAAGAAATTGTAGGAAGTCTATCTTAAAAGAGAAAAACAAACACTCCTTTCTTCCAAGAATCTAAACACTAGCTACCTGCATTTTATATCAAGGGTATATCTTAGAGGAAGTTTTTGCAATGACAGGATCAGAAAGAACTTGCTCTTAATGACATTTTAAATCAGCTGTGATAGAATCGGTTCTTTGCATGACCAAAGCAAGCCTAGTAAGAAATTGTTCCACTGGACATTTGGAGGGATTCTCTGAGAGAGGAATATTAGAGTCCTACATGAGCCTCACTCTGAGATGCTGTGTGGTTGGAGAGGAAGTCAGGAAACCCCTCTAAAGCCAGGTCCTTCCAACAGTCCTGACCCCATTTTAAACCCCCTTTTTTAATCCTTACCTTGACAATGTCTGCTGACTCTCCCTTCTCTTCATTCATCTGCTGTCTCAATCCCAGTGAGAATTTGAATGAAATATAGAAGTTTAAGGGTGTGAACAAGAGACTTAAAATGAAAATAATTTTAAAGAGAGAACTGACTATGGATCATTCAGTGAGCACATGATTCTCCGATGTAGTTGAAAACTTATCAACTCCACAAGGACAAAACTGTGATAGAATGAGGCCCAACTAAAATAAATATCTGGAAAGAGAAAAGAAATATTGCTAGCTCTGGGAGGTTGAGCATGGGCCTCAGCCAGCCATATTTTGCATTGGTTCCTAGTGAGAACCATGGAATAATCCAGGAACTGGGTCCTCAGTTACTTAACAGGACACTATTCTAAGCCAAGTTTCAGATTTTGGGTGTACCTGAAGCTTCATGCTTTATTCTTGATTTTGCAAAAATTACTTAATTTCTACAGTGGGTTTATTTGTTTGGCATTTCTTGCTGACACTGTATGGAATACAGATGGCAGTCCTGATTGCTATTTTAGAGAAAAGCAGACATAGCAGTAACATACAGAGAGCTCTGAGGATGACATCTTGAGGCAGTTATCTTGGCTTCATTCTGATCATCTGTGAGGACTAAACTTTGGAGCAACCCTGGACTAGGAGATGTCAAACTGCAGCAAACATGAAAATCACTCAGAATGTTCATTAAAACATTGCTGGGTTCAGCCCAGAGTTTCTGATGCAATAGGTTTGAGGTGAGGCCCAAGAATCTGTTTTGCTCACAAGCTCCCAGGTCTCATTGTTTCTTCTGGTCCCCAAACCACATTTGAGAACTGCTACCTTAGCTCAGTGGCTATTCCAAGCTTCGGCTACATCTGCATTTAATTAAAAGATGGTGACCTCTTCTCCACATCCTCCATCTCCCCAGATGTTAACTTCATTATACATGATCCATGCCTGGTGCCCTCTGATTAAACTGCCTTGGTGGACTCAACTAAGCATTTCCCATGAAGACCACCCGGAAGTCTCAAAAGGTCTTAAGTCTGTCCTTTTTAAAAATTCTGTGTCATGCAAGTGAGTACAATGGTGCACACAACTCTACAGAACTGGTGCTTTGGTCACATTAAAATTTCCTTTTTCTGCAGCACTTTATGGCAACTAAGACATTCTAAGTCTCCTCTATAAATGATACCCAGATTTCTAATTTCTGGCATGGTCTTTTTAGAGCTAGAATCTCAATGTCAAGAGATTCATTCACTGGAATGGTAGAATAAATCTCAGGTCTATTTCTATAGGAAGAAAATGGCGGGAAAAGTCTATTAAGAATTAGCTTAATGGGGCTGGAGAGTTAGATTAGTGGTCAGGAGCACTGGCTGCTGTTGCAGAGGACCTGAGTTCAGTTCCTTGCACCTCTATTGCAGCTAACAACCATCTATAACTCCAGTTCTAGGGGATCTGACTCCCTCTTCCGACCTCCACGAGCACTGCATACACTTAAATGTATGTAAGCAAAATACTCAAACACATAAAATAAAAAGATGTAAATAATAAAGAAAGAATTAGCTTAAAATTTACTGTTTATACAAATTTATGCATAGATATTTAAAGTAATTATTTACTATACCCAAAGAGTTCAAGTGGCTACACTGACTACAAAATAAATATCTGGTCATATATTTTAAGGTAGAATTGACATATATATATATATATATATATATATATATATTGCTGTTTTTTGAGATTGGTTCTTTCTGTAGCTCCAGTTGGTCTGGAACTCACTGTAAAGACCATGCTGGCCTTGGTCTCACAGACATCTGCCCGTGTTTGCCTTCCGAGTGCTGGGATGAAAGGCATGCACCACCATGCCTGACTGTAATGTTCTTTTAAAATTCAATCCAATTTCAGGAAGCAAATGATTATGACGATTTTATAACTTCCTGTAATTTTTGAATCACCAATTTAAGGACCAAAGAAAAAGAAATGCATTACAAATAAATTATTTATAAAATAAAGACCTTTTTTTTAATAAAGAAGTAATGTAGTTTGATATATTTAAGTGATTAAGCAAGGATGATAGGTTATATGCCAATAGCAACCAAGTATTGGTATATCTATGTCTATACATACTCAGAGACTATGACCTAGCAGGTATCAATACTTGAAATAAATACTTTTTATCTATCCCTATATTACTAAAGACTTAGGGTAAGGACACTGAGAAAACCCTGCTTCCAGTTTACCGGTGATACTATCATTAAACTTGCAAACACTGAACACTGCCCACCTACCTAATGTAGAGGCATGACAAGAAAAACACAGGATGTAAACACAAGATTATTCTGGAGAATCTTTAGGAAAGTCATCTAGGAAGTGTTGATCTCAGTTTCAACAATATTGCTTTTTAACACAACACATTGCAAGGCAAATACTTAACATAGTGTTCATGCTGAGCTCACCTAGAGACTGTGACAGCTGTTGAGTCACTTCAGAATGCTACATTAAAATTCATTATGTTATCCAAATAGTAAATGCTGTGATGACTATGTTCTTCCACTTACAATAACTTAGTGTTCTTTTGTATACTTGTAAAGTCTTATTTCTAGAGCAGTCAATTTTCTAGCAGCTCTTTCAGAAACTGAGAGTGGAGGTTATTAAAGCGGCAGCCATGGCCCCAGCGACAGGACCAGCTTTCCAGCGCTTCATTTGAGTTCTTTGTCATTAAGCATATGGAGACAGAGTAATGTTTGCAGGCTGTGGTGTGGATTTTTCCTCCTTGGCACCACAGAAGGACACCAGCTTCACTCTGTAATTAACCAGCATAAGCAGGAAAGGACTGAGGGCAGAGAAGCCGGAGGAGAGGGCCGTGAGAGCAGCTGGAGTGAAAACGCACGCTGCCAAATCTTTCAAGAAATAGACTAAGATAAAGTGAGAGATCCAAAGTGGAGTGAGCAGCAACATTAATAAAATACTGAACTTGGCCCCTCGAAGAATCTCAATTTCTGAATCATCCATTCCAATCCAGATGTCACCATATGTCACCTTCTTTTTCTCTGAAAGGAGGAAAGACATCCAGAAACAGACGAGCACTAAGCCGGCTAAAGGAAGGATATCAATTAGAGCTAAAAATATTTTTCCATAGTAAAACGCTACCTGCTCGTTGCCAAAGCCAGTTAAGCAATCCATGTAAATTCTATTAGTGGACAAGGAGCCTGTACTATTTCCTGCATTTAGGTGTTCTGGTTTTCTAGTGTAAACCAACACCGGGATGTATACTGCCACACCAGCCACCCAAAGTGCAGAGATCCCCTTCAAGGAGTGCTTCTGCTGGTCCAGTTCTGTGGCCTCGCTCAAGGGGTAGACAATTTGGTAAAGCTTCCGGTGGTAGAACAATGCAAAGTGTAACATGAACCAGATGGCCAGGGAAGTTGTCAGGGCTGCAGTGAAATGCAGAACTTTGCAGCCAACTGAATCCAGCAAGATACCAGAAGAGTAAACAATCTTCATGACGTTCACCACCAGGTTTTTAATGAGGTGGACAAACGCGAGACTGAAAATTAGAAGAAAGGATGTTTGCAAGCGCCCAGTGGTGCACTTCCTTGTAGAATAAAATAAGCATGTGTTTCCCACGAAGCTCACAAGGATTAGGACAGCACAGGCAGTGATCTCAAGCACGTTTGCGGAGGGCTTCATGGTACATGCCAAATCAGAACTGCAAATGCTGTCTCTGCAATTTAGGTCATTAGGCTTTCAGAGGAATTTTCAGAGTCTTTACTGAGATCTGAGGCTTTTCTACCCCCACTAGGTTGACAAAATCCTGACTAGGCACTGTAACAGTTGGAGCAAGATCTGTAACAGAATTCTGCTTGCTTCAGGGATCAGCAGCTGTAAACAGGAATGCTTCCCAGGAGATTTCTATTTCTTCATCTCCAGGGACTTAGCTCTGACCAGAAAGTTCTAGGTATCACCATGTAATTAAAAGTTCTCAGAAAGATATTTATAGCACAGTGATACAATTTCCTAAAATACAAGGCCCAACAACCATGAAGGAGAGAATAAAATTAAACTTATGATAGCAAAGGAAAGGTGACCAAAGTGGAAATCACCTCACTCCACACATGAAAAAAAGTCTAAAGAATGAAACAGGTTTCAAAATAACAAAATAAAAAATTAAGAATAAGAGCAATATGCCAGGTGTGGCGGCGCAGGCTTTTAATCCCAGCACTCGGGAGTCAGAAGCTGGTGGATCTCTGTGAGTTCAAGGTCAACCTGGTTTACATAGCAAGTTCAAGGCCAGCTGGGGCTAGAGGGAGACCCTGTCTCAAAAAGACAGAAAAAAAAAGGAATGAAGGCAATAAAACGAGAAAGATAAGATGACAATTTTCTAGTCTCTCTGCCATTTCTGCAAGCAGGAATACCATCAGCTGCTACGATACCTTCATGTTGTGGTCAGGGAATATGAGAATAGATGATAGGAAATCCTAGGAAGGAAAATAAGAAAGGAAAGAAGGCAGAGAAACAGGGAGAAGGAAGGGAGGGAGAAAGGAAGGAGCTACTTTTATAAACACGGACTTTACGGTCATGACTGAATCTCAACTGTTGGGCAAAGAAATGTTTAACACTTGGGAAGTGATTAGGAAAATTCTCCCTCTGAGAGCACAAGAGGCTGGAATAGATTTATCTCATAAAGCTGATATGACAGTGCAGAGTGAGGACTCTGAAAAGGGGACACTGAAATAGCTACCTGGCATTAGCTCACTTTTAGGATGAATCCTGTTTCTCAAGTATTTCATAATGATCCATTCTGCGGACAAACTGCAGTCATACAGGATTTACCAACGGGGACATCTGAGAAATGCTGTCAGGCAGCTGTGCCATTGTATGAACACTATAGAGTACATGTGCACAAAGACAGCTATGATGTGGTCATTGAGTAAGAATGTCATTATGGTATGCACAATAGTATTTTTTCTGTGATGAATTTATTCCTGGGTGTTGTTACCCATCATCTTACCCTATGCTGTCAGAACACAGCCTAGCCTAGTGTTATACCAAGCTAGCTTGCCCTGACTTGAGGAATTGCACTCATCTCTTCCCAGTCCTTGAGAGCTTGTAATTGGCTATAATGAGGAAACTAGAAAATACCACAAATCAGGGCTTTTTGGAAAAATTTTTTTCAGGGCAGCTTTGATCAGATTGGAAATTATAGATTACAATGACAAGAAATTAGCTAATTTTTATCTACATAATGATAAGGCCAGTATTGGGTGTCTGTCAGCATTTTCATCAAGAGTATGGCATGTGATAAGCTAATGACAGTATAAAAGGGGGGAATCTGGGCTCCACAATCTCAGGGGTTGGGAAGTAAGGGTTGGGGTTGACATTTTCTTATTAATCCCATTTTTCTTAACGAATTTCTAAGATAACTAGAGAACTTTGAGTACTCACAAGTCAGGTTTGTTTCCTTAGAAATATTCAGCCAGTGTTCAGTTACCCAAATCAGTCACCTAGTTTATAACAATAGCAGTTATATTAGCAATGACATAACAATAATGCTCATGGCATTATTATAGGCTATTATTTACTTAACATTGACTTAAGTGAGATTTGTAAAGTCTTGCTTTACAAATGACTTATTCCTTAATAGTCTCATTTCAGTAACGAGGAATTAGAAGACCAGAGAGTAAATTGTTGCAAACTACTAACTGATAAGATAGGAATCCAGTGTTATGATTTGAATAGGAAGTGTCTTCTCAAATGGTTGACATTCTGAAGGCTTTATCCCCAGATAGTGGTGCTAACAAAAAGCATTTGGGAGAGATTGGGGAAATGGCTCAGTTAGTAAAGTGCTTGCTATGTAAGCATGAGGATCTGAGTTTGATCTCCGACACCCATGTAAAAAGCCTAGCACAGTGGTGCGTGCTTGTAATCCTAGCACCAGAGAAGTAGAGTCAGATGGATCCCTGGGAATCACTGTGGTCCAGCCAGGCTAGCCTAATCAATGAGCTCATAGTCCTAGTGAGAGATCCATCTGAAAGAAACAGGGTAGTTGGTGCCGGAGGAATGAATCTTAAGGTTGGCCTCTGGCTCCATATGTATATGCATACACGTACATGTGTGCCTGCACGCACGTGCACACACACACACACACACACACACACACACACACAAGAGATGATTGAAAATAAGGGTGCTAACATTACCAATGGATTAATCCATGGGTGAGGTCATAGCTGAATGAGGCTATCAGGGCATAGAATCTATGACCGTAGAGGAAAACTTCTGAATCTGTGAAGCAAAATAAAATTGTTCTCCTTTTAAGTGTTTCTGCAGTTATTTTATTCTAGCATTGAAAATTTGACTAACATAGCCTGGTATGTCTGATTCTTGAACCATGGGCTCTTGGTTACTGTCTCTCCACACATGCTGACAAACTACCAATTTTTTGTTGATGATTTTCAGTTTCTCACTAATGATTTACAATTGTTCTGTCCAACACACAGAGCCTATAAATGCAATAACTTTGCAAAGAGTTTGATTTAGAGCATGCAAGTCATACAGATTTTGGAATGATAATTAGTATTTTCCTTTCTCTTTCAATATTAATAAATATGCATGTTTACACTTCTGAACTCCAAGCATTCTGAACACCAGTTCAAGATACCTTACTTGAAACAGAAAAAGGTAATACCCAACACTCATAAGCTCCCACACCAGCGGTGTTTAAACAGAGGCATAATGACTGTCTGGAGTAAATCTGTAGGTCAGTGAACAGTCATCTAAGTGATAGATGATTTTACATTGCTACAACAGAACTTGACACTGGGTAATGCATTAAAAGAGGTTTATTTAGTTCATACCCGGGGACTAAAAGTATAGGGTCAGGCATCCATATTTGTTCTTTGGTGAAGTCTTTCTGTCCTGTTACATGTGAATGGCTTTATGGCAGAAATTCCATTCATGTGAGAAGGAGGGACTCCATGGGGAAACAGGAAGTCAGGTGGAGGGAGGGAGGGAGGGAGGGAGGGAGGGAGATAAATAATCCTGCTTTTATAAAAGTGCCCTCATAAGAACTAACCAGGATCCTTGAGAATGATCTCAATTCCTTCCAAGGTCAGTACCTTTGCCCAATAACCTCCTACCTGACATCAACTATTAAAGACTCCATTCACTTCCAATATCACCACATTCAGGATGAAGCTTCTAACACATGAGCTGGTAGGGGACAAGCTCAAATCCTTGCACCCTCCTATAGCCTTCAAGGTTCATATCCATCCAACAATGCAAAAGACTTCATTCTATTGCCAGTAATTAACATTTAAAACTCATTTGAATATCACTCAAAAGTCAAATCCAAAGTGTCATCTCAGACTCAAGAGGACCTGCTTTCAGGTATAATGGTGTGAAATCAAAAGGAAATTACACATTTCATTTATTTATTTTGAGGGTGTGTTGCCTGTATGCATGTAAGTGCACTCGTGTCGTACAATGCCCATGGAGGTCGGAAAAGGGTGTCAGGTCCCCTGGAACTGGAGTTATGGATGGTTGTTAGCTGCCATGTGGGTGTTGGGAACAGAACCCTGGTCCTCTGCAAGATCAGTCAGTACTCTTAACTGCTGAGCCATTTCTCTAGTCCCAGTTACACACTTCTAAGATACAACGACCAGATAGGCGTTATCTGGGTAGATATACCTAAAGAAAGGGGTCACAGGTTAGGAAATAATCCATGAGGGTAGACACTGAATCTTAAAGCACCAAATTTGGCATCATACACACTGTGAGGTGGGGAGGTGATTGAACAGGTCTTGGGAGTCTTAGTCCTGTGGCTTTGCTGGTTACAGCCTAAGTGATTGCTCTCTCAGGCTGCATGCTGATCCTGCAGTTTTCCTTCACTGACTCTGCACAATGCTGGCTACTCTACATGTCTGAGTCCCTGCTGTGACTCCATTCCTTCAGCTCCTCATTGATTTCCCAGTGAGAATCTCTGCACTGACTCCACCTGTCTTTTCAAGTTTTCCTTTGAAATATCAGAGGAAGTTATCGTGGTGCCAGAACTCCTGCATTTTGTGCACCTGCAGAATCAGTACTACATACACATCATCAAGGAATACTGAACACACAATATGTGTTTGTGTGCACTTGAACTACAGTTGCAGCCATAGACTGTTTCGCCAGAAAAGGAGGAGCAAAATCTCATGGAGGACCTGGGCAACAAACCCTTAGAAAGCACCCCAGGCAGGGTTCCTTGAATGCTTACACCCTGGGCTTCCTGGCCGATGTTTAAAAGTAGCCTCAAAGATTTCCAGGCAGCTGAGAAGGTTCCTACTGATCTTGCCAAGTAGCTTGCGACTTCCTTCTTTCCACACTGATCTTTTTGGTAAACTGGACAAGCTTGTTTCCCAAACATACTTTCTTCCTTTCCATGTTCATAGCTAATGATACCCATGTTACAGTGTGAATGCGTCTCCAGAAATTTCCATCAAATATCTGAGGTTAACCCTCTTAAATTTAACCTTCAGCAAAGCTCTAAGGTGTCGACAAAATATAGCTAAGTTCTTTAAATGTAACCAGCTGATCTTTATTCCAATTTCCAATAGAATCCTCATTTACAACTAAGTTTCCTGTCTCCTTGACTCGTGAGTTCTCATGAGAACTGCCCCCCCACCCCTGTGCTCTCAAATTCAGCACTCTAA